GGGGTAGAGAAGGCAACAGTTTCCGCTCTCATTGTACCATGTCCCAAAATGTAGCACTTTCCTTTTCACAAAGCAGTGGTTCCCTGAACTGACTCAATCCTCCGTTCCGAGGCTCCGTAGTCTCCCCTCTGCACATATTGTTCTGCATCCTGCCCAAGATCCCACCAGTTTTGGTGATGACAAATAACCGCCCTGAGACCTGTGAGTATAGGATGCAATATAAATTCAAGGAAGAAGAAGAAGAAGAAGAAGAAGAAGAAGAAGAAGAAGAAGAAGAAGAAGAAGAAGAAATAAATGTTAAAGGAGGCACAGTTCTGGGGCTGGCAGAGTGCTGAGTGGTCACATGCAATTTTGGTCATTACCCCTCCCAAGGGTTGGACAAGGGTGAATGTGAACTTCAGGCTGTTCTTGCTTCAGAGAATTCCCCAGAGGAGTTTTTAGGTTCAGTTTTGTTTTTTCAATGGCCACAATGGTTTAATCCAAACTAGTGCTGAGTAACACATCTCGAGTCAGTTCAAGGATTTGTGCAATGAGACTTCTCCTCTCTCCTCCCCGACGTGCTCCCTAAATCTGTTCTATGGGTTCCTCCAACCCTCCGGGGAAGATTTGGTGAAGGTGTGGGGCATGCATGGGGAAAGAAGAAAGGGAAAGGCCTGTTGCACAAGTGGAAACCCTTGTGCTGCTAGGGCGCATGGGCTGACTAGTACCCAAAGTCCATTTTGTGTGGTTGATGGTGAACCCTCTGATCCAGAAAAGGAGATCTAATGTCCACAACCAGAAGTACATAATCAAATAAGTTCCCCTCTGAAGTGGACTTGTGTTCACCTCATGTTGCTGCCAGAACTCAGTAGGGTTGCTCAAATGTTCAACTGAACACAGGTAGAAGCTGTCTCTACACGTGTGCAACTGTTTGTGTAAAACAGTTTACACAGCTCAATTATTGTGTTCTCGGGTATGAAGACTGTACACTTGTTGAACATCATGTGGGAATGATTGTACTGGCCAACTACTCTTGTACACAGGTTGTTGTTGTTGTTGTTTAGTCGTGTCCGACTCTTCATGACCCCATGGACCAGAGCACAGATTGCACTCCCCTAAAATTATGACCAGTGAGCTCAAATTCAGTAAAAGGCAGCTTCATACATTTGTGTTAAAGTAAAATTTGACATCAGTTTGGAAGTTCCTTCAGAGACTAAATGTCTGAAGATTTTCAAGGGCAATCCAAAGAATTTTGATGAAACAAACTTCTAGAGCTGGTCACAACCTCATTTATGTATCTTCATTCTCACCACACGACTGATTAATTTGTTGCCCTAGATTTGTTCACACGTTACTCTGAACACAGGTACAAATCATCTCTGGGAAAGTAGTAGTGTGTGCCCCTGTTGATTCGTACAACTCAGTTATTGTATACACAGGTTCACACTTATTGAAGGTTACATATGAATGACAGTATGAGTGTACAGATCAACTACAGTGGCGCCTCGCAAGATAAATTAATCCGTTCTGCGAGTCTCTTCGTCTTGCGGTTTTTTCGTCTTGAGAAGCATGGCTATTAGCGGCTTAGCGGCTATTAACGGCTTAGCGGCTTTAAGAAAAAGGAAACAAACTCGCAAGAACTCGCAAGACGTTTCGTCTTGCGAAGCAAGCCCATAGGGAAATTCGTCTTGCGGAACGACTCAAAAAACGGAAAACTCTTTCGTCTAGCGAGTTTTTTTGTCTTGCGAGGCACCACTGTATTTGTATACTCAGATACAGAAATTGTACACATGTTGTATGTACCATATATATATATATATATATATATATATATATATATATATCCCTCCTGACTCTGGATTTTGCCTAAGGCATGCGATCTGATGTATCATTTTTCTCCTCTAACTCTTTTTTTTTTTTTTTTTAACCTCTCAAGGTATGGGCACATTTTATTTGCTTTCCTTTTTGTTATTTTCCCCCCTCCTTTCAAAATTTGTGTGGCAGCTCATGTTGATAAAAGCACATTTTGTTCAAGAGTTAAGAGGTCAACTTCAGGTTGATCACGGAAGCTTTTAAACTGTTTTACTGGCCTGGAATTATTAGATTCATGCAACTTTCCAGCATAGCCAGTACACCATAAAATAAGTGCTTTACGCTACATTGATATTGCTGGCGATGCACAAAACAAGACTGTAGGTTTGCAAAAATACATGCCTTGAATTGAATATTATATCCTAATATACACATCCCCCCACATCAAAGAGTGGGTTTCTTATATTGGGGTGGGGGGTATTGAATCTGCAGCCAGTCACTTGTAACCTGAAATGCTATAGCCCACCCCAATGCTGTGTTTTCACTCACAAAACTCATTTTGTGTTTAATGCAAAAGAGTTATTTTTGTCATATTCCAACTTTTATTCCCACTAAGAATGTCACCAGGGTTTCCCCCGGATTTTGGACTCGTTAGTGGCCTGGCAATGTTTCCAGAATAACACCAGCATGTTAGAAAACCTCCATTTTTATATTGCTATCATTAACATTATTTCTGGACATGTGGGCATTTTCCAAACAGTGCCCCCACAAAGCAATTTTTATGTGGTTACATCAGGCTGTAGTAAGAGAGGCAGGGCGATTGCAATGGTGCACTGAGAGTCCAGCAACATTTGCCGCCTCCCTTCCTTGAAATTTTTCATCCTAGCTGATCATTAGAACAACTTGTAACTAAGCATGTGAAGCTGAGCCTACTTATTTCCTCCTCCCTCCCAAGCATTTTCCTTTTATGTCGTGTTTTTGATTATTGCAATCCTGAGATCAAAGACTAGGTTTTAGTTTAATGATTTGTAATCTGCTCTGGGGGACTTTTTATAGCTGAAGAACTTCAGAGTATATCTTCAAAATGGAAAGCTGCCAAAAAAAATCCTCTTAGTTAATTTTTATTTTGGAATATCCTCAAAACTACAAAAAAAAAGAAGGATCAGCCTTTGCTGGGAAATTTCTTGAAACAATCCACCTCCCTCCTGTCCACCCCCCCCCCCAGGTTTCAGTGTCTAGTCTAGTACATTATGGATTTATGATTTCTGGAATCAACTTCCCACTGTATTACAAGTGTAATATTAACTGCCATATTGGGCTTCCATATGGCCACTAACCTCTCAGGTTGGAAACAACTATCGCTGTAGAAATTAAGCCCGAGGAATAAGCCTGAGGATGCAACCACTTATCACTCAAGCATGCGATATAATTGGCTGCAACAACAACAAAAATTAAAAAAAGAAAGTGTCTCGGAAACCAGATGGATTTGAAATGTTCCATTATTCATAAATGCTTCTGTCTCACTCCCAATCTCTCTTGTTTGAAATGCTGATTCTTTACCCAAATATCTTTTTTGTCAAAAAAAATAAATAAAATAAATAAATTGTGCCAAATAATGATGTTTCAAAAGGACAAAAGTTGTCTTTTTTAAAAAAGTGGCTCACAAGATCTTCCTGTGCCAGTAATGACTGGGCTACAGGAAGTGTTTATTTGCCAAAAAAATTTCCAGGGGGCTTTCCCCCCTGAGCTATTCAGGATATTAGCTGTTGTTCCTCTTCATAGTTTTACACAGCTGTGAAACTTCAGAGTTTGCAAAAAATAGTAATAAATAAATGCCCCCTTCTTTTTGATAATTCATGACCAATGTAATTTCCCTGACAGGAGCTCATCTATGTCCTTAGGAATGTGACACCCCCCTTTCCCCATAACTCTTGCTTTACACCTACCCTCCCAGTGCCATCCCCACACGCCAAGCTCCTCTTCCTGTCCTCTTCCATCCAGATTCCCACTGCAAAAATGACAGGAAAAACAGGGAAGCTTATCTTGGTTTTAAGTGCAGATCAACATTTTTCTCATATGGATATCAAAGGGCACAGCAAAGGAGGAATTAAGAGTTTGTACAGGAGTCATGGCCCTGGATGCATCATGATGCTAAGTTAATGCCGTGCTGAAAATTTTTCATTCTGCAAACATGCTCCGTCAGCTGATGAAGGGTGGTGGGGTAATTGCTTTCAAAAACAGTAGTGGCTGCCGAGACCACATAACACCTGTTCTGAAAGACCTACATTGGCTCCCACTACATTTCTGAGTACGATTCAAAGTGTTGGTGCTGACCTTTAAAGCCCTAAAAGGCTTTGGCCCAGTATACCTGAAAGGGCGTCTCCACCCCCATCATTCAGTCCAACTCTGAGGGCCTTCTGGTGGTTCCCTCCCTGTGAGAAGTGAGGTTACAGGGAACCAGGCAGAGGGCCTTTTCGGTAGTGGTGCCCGCCCTGTGGAATGCCCTCCCATCATGTGTCAAGGAAATAAACAACTATCTGACTTTTAGAAGACATCTGAAGGCAATCCTGTTTAGGGAGGTTTTTAATGTTTGATGTTTTATTGTGTTTTTCATGTTCTGTTGGGAGCCACCCAGGTGACCATCACTTCTTCTTGTGAGAGCGAGTTCATGTGCTGCATGAAGAAGCCCTTTATTTTACCTGTCCCAAATCTTCCACTTTACCCACCCATTGCATAAGACATCATGAAGTTAATTCCTCTCATGGGGCTTCTAAAGAATAGCAAGTGTGGGCAGCCAGGGAGGCTGCAGGTTGCTAAAGAAGGGTTGCTGGAAAGAAAGGGGAGGGAACCACATTTACACACACTCAGCCATTTCACAATGATAAGCTAAGCTCAAAACCCACACATTGAAATTCTAAAGTGCCCAGAGAATGAAGCAGAGAAAGGGAAGCCTTTTTTGCAGAGGACAAAAACAACAACAACAAAACACTGAGAAATCAGAAGACAGCTTTTGGCACAGAATTGTGGCAGAGTGACAGTTATGGGTGAGCACCATTCATCTAGCTTCCCAAAGATCAGTGCACACTATCCAGACGACCATGAGCCAGAGAGAGAAAGAGATGGCTGCACTAAAATAAAAGAAAGTGTGCCAAGCAAGTTAGACATACTGCATACTGCAGGGAAAGGAGAGCAATCAGGCAGGGTAGAAAGGCTGTAGTTCAATGGTAGAGCATCTGCTTTGTATGCAGAAGGTCACAGGTTCAATCCCCACAATCTCCTAGGAGAGACCCCTGATTGAAAGTTCAGACAGCTGCTGCTAGTACAAAATACTGAGCTAAATGGTCAACACTGGGCCGGCCACAGACATTTTGGCATCTGAAATGAATCAGAAATTGGTGCCTCCCCAATTGTAGTTTGTTAAGGGTGCTTTTTAATGTACACTTGAGGCTCCTCATGCCCCCACCATCCCAGCGATGATCATTATGCCTTCCTTCTTCCTGATACTGATCTTCATTTGAGGAATATTGGAGGTCGTGGTGGGAGTGAGGACCAGCATTGGAAAAACACACCATCTATGAACCAACCTCTTCAGTGAGGAGTTGCTTGGTTCACAGAAGCTGAGTCTCCATCTCTCAGGGAATAGGGAGATGCAGCTGATGGGTTGAAAACTTTTCCCATCAGTCACCTCTCCCGCCACTGCATCTCCCTCTTTCTGTAGGGGAGTGGACGGCAGCGATACATAATGGATGAGCCTGCTGCCCCTCCCAACTTGCCCGAGGCAGCTGCCTCACCTCGTCTCATGGCCGGTTCAGTCCTAGTCCAACTCAATCTAAGGGGGCTTCTGGGGAAGACTAACTCTCAGCATTAGAACATCTGCTTAGCACTCAGAAGATTAGATCCCAGTCCCCTTCTGGTGGGACTGGGAAAGACTGTCTGAAACCCCTGGAGATGCAATACTGACTGATGTGCATTGGGGCAAGTATGGCAGGAGTCAAGGCAGCCAGCAGTAGGGGGCTCCAGAGCCAATGAGAGACAGAGCCAACTAACTCTAATTTTGCCCCCTTCCTCCTCCCTGCTGAACCTTACAAGGGTAACACTGAGACTGAGCAGGAGAAAGCTGACAGTCAGGGCCACTTTCTGGACTGGTTGTTAGGTAAGGAAGCAGCGGGGGGGGGGGTGGTTGAAGGCGGACTGGGATACTGCCCAATTTGCCTTAATGGTCCAGTCTCCAGCAGAGAGAAGCTGCTGCAAGTCAGTTTAACTAAGGTAGATGGAGCAATGCTCTGAGTAAAAGGAAGTTTCCTGCATTCCTTCCTGACCCTAAAATCAATCAGATCTGGATTCCAAGCCCTGAGCAATCTCTGAAGCTATCTTGCCCCCAAAGAGCTTGAATCTAGCACATCTCCATGATGCAAAGCACCCTCCTATCCCCAGGGCCGTCTTAAGCATATTCGGCACTGTGGTGCAAAGCTTCCTCCAGTGCCCCCCTCCATTTCCAAGAGTTTTTTAGGGAGGACAGCACTGCCGGTGGGGCTGGAGGAGGCGGGCAGCAGCTGGAGGGTGGCTCCTCCAAAGGCTGGCCGTGGCACCTCCACGCTCAGCTGGCCTCTTCATGCCATGGTGGCCACAGCAGATGGAGGCTCCTGGCGCGGCGCTGCTTCAGCATGGCATGGTGGAGGCAGGCGAGGGCAGCGAGCTGATGATGGGAGGCTCTGCATCCAGCCTCCGCCTCTTCCCTGGCGCCCTCCAGAACTTGGCGCCCTGGCGCCCCACGCCACTAGCCTCTATGGGTAAGACGCCCCTGCCTATCCCTGCCAAATGTTGGGTGCCTGAGAAGTCTTGGGATGAGGAAAAGAATGAGGGGGGGGAGGACCCATCTTGCCAGCAGCCTCTTAGCTTCCATCCAGAAAGCAAATGCTAAAAAGGACCACACACTGTCAAAAGGAAGACATTTAAACACCGAGGAAGTTATTAATAGATGGCTGTTTTCGGCGCATTGCCGAGCTCCTTCTCTCCGCTTCTGCCCACAGCCTTGGACGAGGTTCAGCTGGGACCCGCCTCCTATGTAAAATTCTTGACAGATGGGGGGCACAGCTCACCTTTCCCTGCCATCTAGTTTGTATTTTGACAATCTGGCATCTAAACCCGAGCAAATGCAACGCCGCACCAGGCGATTCCCTGGCTCCCTCCCTCCTCCTCCTCCTCCTCCTCCTCCCGAGGAAGCTAGCGAGGCATCACTGAAATGTGATGCGTGAACAGCGCCGAGTCTAAGGAGAAAATGAGTATGTTTTAAACAAGTCCACTGGAAAAGAATTAGCAATGAAACTGAAAAGAGCCATATGCCAATAAGGGGGAAAGCGACTCAAAGTGACACGCTGTAATAATAATATAATTGAGTTAGGATGGAAATTGCACCAGGGTGAGAAGCAAAAGCAAGGACGGAACAGAGAATGCCAGCCGCTTTGTTAAGCAGGAGACCAGAGGTGGGCAACCCCAGGAGCAGGAGCCAGGGGCAAGCCTGGCTTTTACTCTACCTGGTCCCCAGGATTCTACCCAAGCAACACACACACCATTACCAACTTGGCTTCATAACCTCCTTTGATGTTTTTGCAGGCTTGAACGCCTCTCGATTGTCTGGATGGAGGTTTGAGAGGGTGTCTAGAAATTAACCCACACTACAAACAGGGGCGGAGGAAGGGGGTGGAGTGGGGGCAGGCCGCCCCAGGTGTCACTACTGAAGGGGTGACAAAATGGTGGGTGGCACTCACTGTGGGGCCTGCAGCGCACCCAAGACATGCGTCTCTCCTGGGAGTGACACAGTGGCTTGGGCGCCCACAGGCTCTGCACTGCCCCAAACAGTCTGCCCACCACCTCCCCCTCAGCTGTAGGGTGGCTGAGTGGAAGGAGGCAGGCAGACTCCTCGGAGGCCCTGCAGAGCGTCCTGTCCCGGCTCGTCCCACCCCCGTGGGTGGTTGGCCCCGCCCCCAGGCTCAGGGCATGCATGCCTCCCCAGGCACCCGATCGGCTTGCTCCACCACTGAGTACAAATTAGGATTTGTTAATCCTCACATTTTTTTTCCTTTGGCTCTGCCCAGTGCTGGCAGGTAGCAATGCACCTCTTGTTGTGACAGGTGTCCCCCACCAATGCAAGGGGTGTTCCTATGAACGCCCCCATGTATTCAATGAATACATCAAAAAGCGAGAGCAGGATCATGCCTCCTGACTGACCATGTCCGCATCAACCATGCTTGGGCTGAATGCAGATAGCACTTTATAGAACTTTGCTATAAATCAGGGACATGTAAACTGTGGCTCTGCAGATGTCGTTGGGCTATGACTCCCATCATTCCTGACTAGGCCCAGCCCACCCATAAGGCAGGGTGAAGCAGCTGCCTCAGGCAGCAGAAACCCCCGAGGTGGTGACCCTCAGGCACCCCATCCGCCCCACTGCCTCCGCCACTTCTTGCTGAAATTTCATGAAATTTCACAGTGTGCAAAATCTTGTTAGATCTCACCAGAACTCAATGCCGGTGCCATTGCCGCTTTTCCACCAGTGCTAGTGGTGTCACAGCAGTGACAGGGCGAAGCGAGACACACCGCTCCTGTTTCTGACCGCTGACTGTGCCACATCTGGATAGTCACAGCTGCCCCAACCCTACTATAAATGGTTCTAGGTCCAGCCTGGGATTTAGGAAAGAGCTGGATTCTGGTCTTGCTTGTGAGAAAGAATATATGTAATCATATGCATTTTGAACCCTCTTTGTCACTAACTGCAAATATGCAGCTGCCAGAAGGTGTGGCTGTGAGATGTGGTCACCAGGAGCCATGTGTTCACAGAAATCATTAGGAGGTCCATATTAATAATGAATTCAAATTACACCCCGAACTCAAGATGGCATACAGGGATCATTCCCCTCCCATTCTATCCACACAGCGACCCTATGATGTAGAGCAGGCTGAGAGATGGTGACTAGTATGGGAATGTTCAGGGTAGCAGGAAAGGATATATTTATTATTGATATCCTTCCTAACTTGTGCTAGCAAGTTTCTTTACTTAGCAGAGTTTACATTCCTCTTTTACATGCACAGCAGATAGCTGGTTGCAGGCCCATGTGAGCTTCTCACTATTACACAATTCAGTCTGTCTCAGATTGAATTGTATGTTCCTGGTAAGTTCCCTTGAATCCCTCTTAAAAGAATAAAGACACCACAATCTTATTCAAAATTAATAAAAGAAGTTTACTTACATCAGTTCACAGTTGGATCCCTGAAGGCAGACTTAGTTACAAATATGTACATGTGGATCTACCCCATATGGGGGAATAATCCGAGTGCTTCTGCTAGCTGAGAGCTAGCAGAGCAGTCCTAACTAAAAAGCTGGTCAAACGAAGAAGGAAGTGAAAAAAGAGGGATATGTGCTGCGTGATTTGTCCTTTTCTTACCTGGACAGGTTAGGTCACGCCCACCTTCTATCACATGCAAAAGGAAGGATGCTCCAGCCAGGAGAAACAGGAAGTTTTGACTGGCTGGACCAAACATTCCCTCGCATGTCTTCTCTAGCATTACAAGGAATGTTGTACTTGACTGCCTCTCACGGATCACATCCCACAACTAGCCCAAGGTTACCCAGTAAATTTCATGTCAGGGTGGGGATCTGAACCTAGGTCTTCCCACTCTGCATCAGACATTCTTGCCACTGCATTGCACTGGTGCTCAGTAAGCAACCCTATAGAATGAAGAGTGGAGTTCATTCCTAGTCGTGGGTATACTGTTTCCATACATAGTGGCAATAATGTCTGGTAGTGCCCAACATGTCTGCCCATTTCAAGTACTGCTTCCTTTAGAAAAGAGCTGGGGGAGGAGGGTTTCTGCCTTTGCATTCCAGCGGATGCCAGTATTAACGCTTGCATCATATGGTAAGCAATCAGGGCCTATTCATATCAGCTATAACTTATGTTGAATTGAAACAATGATGATAAGAAGAAACCACGGAATTGCTTTTGAATTCTGTACTACTCTTTCATGCTTTCCTGATATAGATTCATTTTCATTTCCAGTGCTGATGCTTTAAAAACACACAACCTGAAAGTGATAACGATGGCGTTCATTTTGCCTCTGGAGATAAAAAATTGCAATGTATTTTACAAAGCAAATAATTAATGCTGAGCCCTCCCACTTACAGCAATCTCCGGAGCTCATGATGAATAGGCTTGTCCCTGATTGGCTAGGAACTCTCATGTGACCAGTAGACAAAGCCTCACCCAAATGCTAATAGGCTTCATTTTCCATAATTGTCTCCAACACTGGATGACATGCAGTACATTATCCCTGATTAGCTGGAATCACTCAGGCCACATTGACGCCATGTACCCATGTAACCACTTATAACAGTCTTGGCTTCACCCAAAGGATCATGGGAGCTGTAGTATGTCAAGGATGCTGAGGGTTGCTAGGAGACCCATATTCCACTCCCAGAGCTACAATTCCCAGTTTCCTGTGAAGAGGTATTGAATGGCCAAACCTCTTTGTTTTTAACATTGTTGTAACCTGCCTGTGACACTTAGGATGAAGGGCAGGTATTTGATGATGATGATGATGATGGTGATGAACATGCCAGCTGAAAGATCTTCATTAAGTTCAATGGGAGAGGGGAGGACTGATTTCCACAGAATTGGGACCACAACACTGATTTATTGTTCAATATAACTGCAGTTTCATGCCATTTCAGGTGTGATTTTAACCTTAGCTGATGACCAGTGGGCTTAACGCTGTGCGTGGGGAGGCAGAGGGTGGAAGGACAGCCAGGTCACTGTGCCAGCTTAATTGCATCCATCAGTCACTTTATACAAAAGAAAAGGCCTCAAAGCAACTTGACAAGATAAAACACAACAAATAAAAGCAAATTAAAAGCTGAAAAACTGTAAAACAATGAATAGTTCAGAATACATGAATTGCTCATCTAGTAACATATTAATAAGGACCAGACCTACCCACCACATTTAAAGATGGAGGCACCTAGCTGCCAAAGCACTGAGTTACAAAAAAGTCTTAGCCCGGTGCCTAAAAACTGACAAGGATGGCACCAGGTGTGTCTTACTGCAGACAGGGCCCACCACTAAAAAGGCCTGTTCTTTTGTGTGTACTGTCTTCACCTCACTTGGGTGGGGTGCATGAAGAAGGGCCTCTGAAGAAGAATACAGGGCCTGGGGTGGTTCATATGGGGAGAGGTAGCAGTAGAGGCATTGTGGTAATGAACTGTGCATTGTTTTAGAGGTCAAAACAGCACTTTGAATTGAGCCCAGAAAACAATCTACAGCTAGTGCATTAGGGCCAGAACTGGTGCAATATCAGACCCTCCAAGTGTCCCTATTTTCCAGGGATGTCCCTGATTTAGAGAAACAGTCCTGGTTTCTGATTTGATTCTGGAGTGTCCCACTTTTCCTTAGGATGTCCCTATTTTCATTTAATGTTTTGTTATATTTTTAGATATGTTGGAAGCTGCCCAGAGTGGCTGGGGCAACCCAGTAATATGTGTGGGGTATAAATAGTAATATTATCATTATGGAATGGGATGCCCCTATTTTCATCGGAGAAATGTTGGAGGCAGGGGCGTAGGAAGGGGAGCAGTGGGGGCGGACCACCCCGGGTGCCCTCACTGAAGGGGGTGACATTCGGTGCACAGCCTACCTGCAATTCCCAAGCCTACCCTGAGCCGTTGGGGTAAGGGGGGAGCTGTGCCGCTTTGCCGACAGCATTTCCCCTTTCCCCCTTCGTTTTCACAGCTTGGGGGAAGCTTGGGAGTTGCAGGCAGGTTGCATGCCAAATGTCTGCCATGGGAGGCTCGCTCTGCCCCCATGGGCAGTTCACTCCGCCCCCAGCTGCAGGGCACGCACTCTGCTCCGGGCACCCGAGCAGCTATTCCGCTCCTGGGAGGGCACCCTCCGTGCCACGCCCTCCTCGGGAGCGCGCCCCCACCCTGGACAGTGCGGCCATATGCTCAGCCACTGGTTGGAGGGTATGCAAAATGTTCAGACCTGTTCAGGTGGAATGACTGCTATGTTCAGTTGACAACAGCCCCCTTCCCCTCCATACACACTGGGTGCAAAAGGGGTTTTGATTTCACCCAGAATCCATGATTCCATCGAAACTTATATGAAAACAGAAAGCTCCTGGAGGAAAGAAGGCTGGATGCTGCTTCCAGCCAGAAGGAGATATCGCTGAATGAGCTGGAGCTTGTCAAAGTTTGTTTAGAATGCGTTGGATAAGCACAGCCACTTTGTGTTATAAATGAGACGGGCAGTAATTTGCATGGATTAGGATTGTTAACATTTATCAATTGCTGGCGTTTAAAGAACTCCCAAATTCTTGATAATAGTATCTCTTTGTAGTGAAGGATTGATGGTAGGAGTGAAAGAGGAAGGGGGGGGGACCCAATGAATTCAAAAGCTGCAGAGGAGAGGAAGCCAAGCGGCCCAGATCTAAACTGTGATACCATTAGTGACTCCCATAAATCAAATCATTTTTATAGCAAGGAGGCTGTTGAATTACCATCTGGACTCTTAAACCCTGATATCTATTTCCGAACCATTCCGTAATATTGAAAGTAGACTTAATCCTTCCTTTCATCTTTGTGACTCTGACGAGATGCCAGTTCTCATTTGGGAAAAATTATCTGAGTTTTGTTTGGGGTGGGGTCGAGGTAAATAAAGGCATGCGATATCGCATGCAGGACAGGGGTGAGAAGGACACGGGACTTCCTTTAGGAGAGAGAATAATAGAAGAAATAAAATACACTGTTTTTTTGCAGAAGATTATAAGAAGCAAAGATTAAAGTGAAGACAGTGGGAGGGAAAGGAAAGATTGTTTTTGAGGTATTTGAGGATTATTTCAAATGGGGAAGGGCCATAGCTCAGCGGTAGAACATCTGCTTTGCGTGAAGAAAGTCCCTAATTCATTCCCTGGCATCTCCAGGAGAACTGCTGCCAGTCAGTGTAGACAATAGTGAGCTAGATGGGCCAATGGTTCTGCCCTGTATTTATTGCATGCAGTGCTGTTTCTGTTCCACTGCAGTTTGCCTTCTGCCAAAAACTATGTTATTTGTCCCACTGTCTGCTGCGGTGAAATTCTATAACTTACATTGTCATTACATTATTCTACTTGATTTCTTTCATTGCAAAGGAAATGCAATGCAAAGGGTGTGTGTGTCACAATAAATTGCATTTGTGGACTGAAAGCAACAACAACAGTGATTACCGATTGTTTTGCTGGATTGATTTCCGTTCTGGACATGGGACAAATAAGTGAGCATTGACCATTTCTGCTCCCCTTTCTGTTTCCTACAGGATTCTCCCTGCTTCTGGACAGCTGAAGGTCAAAGATTCTGCCTCTTTCCTGCCTTGTGCAATACTAGGTTCAGGGTTGCTCTTACTCTGCCAAATGGGTCCTATAGGCAAGCTCATCTTTCTGCAGCCTTACCCTTCAACAAAGAGACAAATCCGAAGTTGCCTCCTGAAAGACTGCTGAGTTCTCCTCTGTGAAACTGAAAACCTGAGCCATTTTGCATGCTGTCAAGGAACTTAGCCTAAGGAGTTGCATGATAGAAATGAAGTGCGAGATTTATGCACTAAACCTGATATGCACACAGGAGATTCGTGCAGCCTCTTCCATGAGCTCAGCTGTCTGGGTCTCTCTTTCTATCTCTGTTTAAGTACCTCAACTACACCTGTTGCTCAGTAACCAGCTGCAGCCTGATTGGCTGCTTTAGGGAAGGTCCATAGCTTAATAGTAGAGCACACACATATCCCAAAGGTTCTAGGTTCAGTCCCTGATAGCTCCAGGTAATGCTAGTGGAGACCCCTGCCTGAAACCCTGGAGATCTGATCAGCGGCAGAGGAAGGCGCTCGGGTGCCTGGGGCGGTGCATCCATAGGGGTTGGGCAAGGGCAGGGCGAGCCGCCCATAAGAGCGAGGCGCAACACGGGGCCTCCAGAGTCTATCTGCCTCCTCCCACTCAGCCGCCCTACAGCTGGGGGAAGCAGCGGGCAGACCGTTTCCGCAGCGCGGAGCCTGCACGTGCCCAAGCCACCACGTCTCTCCCAGGAGAGATGTGTGGCTTGGGCATGCTGCAGGACCCGTGGAGAGTGCCACCTGGCATTTTGTCACCCCTCTCAGTGGTGACACCCAGAGTGGCCTGCATCCACCACACACCCCTTCCTCCGCCCCTGGATCTGATGCTGGTCAGTAGACACAATAGCTGAGATACCGAACCTGACTCCATATAACACAGCTTCCTATATTTCTCAGCTTAACCCAAATATCTTAGGCCAGCCCAAAGAAAAAAGTTATTGCAAAGCTTATGAAAGCTGATTGGGCTTGGATGATGAGCATGTAAAAATTGGGGAAGGGTTACAACTGTAGCTCAGGAGTAGAGCACATGGTTTTTGTGCAAACGATCCAAGATTCAGTCGTGAGAAAGATCCTTGCCAAACTTGGGTCTCCAGCTGTTTTTGGACTACAGTTCCCATCATCCCTGACCACTAGTTCTGCTCCCAGCTAGGGATGATGGGAGTTGTAGTCCAACATCGGCTGGAGATCCAAGTTTGGGAAACTGTGCCTTAAATCCTGGGCAGTCACTCCCAGTACACCAGGGTGGGGAAATGTACTCATACTGAGAGCCACATTTGCATTGTGACTAGCTTCCAGGGGCCATGTGCCAGTGGTGGGATGGGCCAAAGGCCCAAGTGAGAAATGCAACAGATGCAATTTATACCTTTGTAAAGTAGACTAGTTGCTACACACACACACACACACACACACACACACACACACACACCTCGCTGTCCTTCACTTAGACAAGCAAGAGGCATGATCAGAGTTCTAGGGCACAGTCCAGCCAGGCAAAAAAGCTCAAGGAAGCAGGTCTGGTGAGGGGTGTGGCCTGGAGACAGTGTCCTGAAGGCCAGACAGAGAGTCCTGGAGAGCTGCGTTTGGCCCCTGGGCTTGAGCTTCCCTGCCCCTGCTTTATACAGTACATATCCAGATGGACCAAGGACCAAGGATCCAGATGGACTTGGTATATAAGGCACCTTCCTAGGACTGTTTAGCACACTTCCTGGGTATTCTAGATAGTCTTTGTGCAGTGGTTTCTGATTGATGCTGGCTCCCCAGTACTGTCTGGCTTCCCAATACTGCCTGCAAACAGTCTATTTCCTCCCTCTGTTGGAGAGTTGGAATTATCATGATCAGGTTGCTGTCTGGAATTCCAGTCCTGGTTTGGTTGGCTTCTGTTTTTCATTGCAAAGACTGCTGGAGCTGCAAGAAATCTATGACGTCATCTTACACTAAGCAGACAATCAGTTCAACCTCAATGTGTGTGTGTGTGTGTGTGTGTGTGTGTGTGTGTGTGTGTATGCATGCCACAGGCCATGACCACTGTTGGTGCACGCAGAGTAGTACATGGTCCCCAACTGCCAGCCAATATGAAACACAGGCAAAAAGGTTGCCCACCTAAGAAGTAAGGTCTGAAGCCAAATCTTTATCCAACCTTATTAGCCAGAAACCTTTCAACAGAAATGCAAGACTTGAACCTGGGACCTTCATGTGCTCAGCCAGTCAGCTATGGTCCTTGCTTGGAAACCCCACCATATGTATTGCTGAGGGACTCCAAGGCATCTCAGCTTATCTCAGAGATCACAATTTGATTCAGTTCACAATTAGAGTTCAGCCTACATAATTCATACTTTCCAAAGCAATACGCAGACCAAAGCCCAGCCAGCCATCTTTTGAAATTTGCCCATCTCTGACATTTGCAATGCAGTTCACCAGACAAGCAATGTATACAATATTCTGTGGCTATAAAAAGCATATATTTGTGGAGATGGCATACAAAAATGTATTATACAGTGGTACCTCGGTTTACGAACTTAATCCGTTCCGGAAGTCCGTTCTTAAACCGAAACTGTTCTTAAACTGAGGCGCATTTTCCCTAATGAGGCCTCTCACCGCCGGTGCCCTTCCACCATTCGGATTCCGTTCTTAGACCAAGGTAAAATTCTCAAACTGGGACACTACATCCAGTTTTGCAGAGTTCATAAACCAAATCGTTCGTAAACAGTACTGTTCTTAAAACAAGGTATTACTGTACTAGGGAATTCTGATTTGCAAAATTGTACATATTAGGCACACTTACATAGAAAAGGTGCATATTACGAGGGGCATATTTGCACTAAAACGCTGATGTCCACATATGAAGAATTGATCTTAAAAGGCAAAACTGAGAGAAATCAAAATTGACAGATCCACCCATCCCATGAGCTCTAACATGCCCCCTTCATGAACTGAGGATCTCTCTGGTTTTGCAGAAGATAAAGGGGGAAATTATGCAAACAATTGAGGGTTTGGCTCATACCCTGTATGCACAACAACAACAAAATGCTTTTTAGTCTTTTAACGGTTGCCTAGATAAGCGCTTTTCTGTCTTATCTTTCAATGTGTGGCAAAGGGGTTATTTTGAGTTGCTTCCCGCACCCCACTCTTCCCAGCCATCCCTCTTATTACAGATGACCTAACATTTTCACACCCAGTTGGATGCCAAAATCCTCCCTCTTTAGCCTGTTGGCGACACGACAGCCATTTCCTATGTGTCTCTTTCCGGAATGCGCCCAGGCCAGCACTCTGAGCTTTTGTTGAAATGAAGTCCAGCCTTCCGTCCCTGCCTGCCGTGCCTCAGATTATCTGCAAAAGGAGGTCGCAACCCACTTCCTGCAACTCTGGACACAGGATGAGGAAATGAAGAGGAGCGGAGTTACTGATTTGATTCGGGAGGTCAGGGTAGCAGCCTGCTGGAAGTGCTTGAAAACAAATAAGGCCCACAAACTTTCAAGCTGTGGGGAGAGGGAGGACTTCCACACACACACACACACACACACACACACACACTCTTCTCTAAAACAAGCAAACAAATGAAAGGACTAGGGCGTCACAACAACGACTTATGCTCTAGAATGGGAAACACTTTTCGAAACAGCTGACAAAACAACCAGGACAACTGTAGGTCAGCGCAAAAGGGCTTATTCAAACATATATCATTATTGTCAGAGACTCACTGAAGGTTGAAGGTGTTAGGAAGATTCCGGCCCTGGGCATCCTGCCTGGCCCCAAAGGGCACTGGGACTATTTTGTCCCTTCAGCCTCTCTCTTGAGGCATTCCAACAAGTTCTCTTTCTCCCGTGCAAGAGCAGGGAGGTGTGAAAGGTTAAGCATCTGACATGGTGCCAGGCGTATGTCTTCTAACCTGCAGTGGGGGGTGTCTCCAGCTTTCCTCCTTTGCGGGGTGGGGAATGTGGGAACCTGGCCAGGAGCCGGAGTAGGGTAGCTTTTAGTGTACTTGGCAGAGCATGTTTCAGCTGTAGTCGCTTCACTGTCTTGCCCAGCCGAGAATCTGTATGCTAAGTGCCAAATCTTCTGTGACCTACGCGACAAGCACAGGCCTTTAAAAAAAGAAATAGAAAGTACTTCTTCACATACTTCCCCAATAAAAAGTACTTCTTTACATAGCATGTGGTTAAACTATAGAACTCTCTCCTACAAGAGGCAGTGATGGCCACCAACTTGGATGGCATTAAAAGAGGGTTGGACACATTCATGGAGGAGAAGACTATCAAGAGCTGCTAGCCTCTGTGGTCAGAAGCAGTCATGGTTCTGAATACCAGTTGCTGGAAAGAGTGTTCTTGTGCTCAAATCCTGCTGGAGGGTTTGTTTGTTTTTGCAGGCATCTGGGTGGCCACTGTGAGAACAGGATGCTGGACTAGGTGGACCATTAGCCTGACACAGCAAGCTCTCCCTATGTTCTTATGCTTTCTGTCTTGATCCAGGTGATGAAATGCTTGGCAGATCTGCATAGTTAGGATATTGAAATGGTACATCTCTGTTGGGACTCAGCCACTTTGGGGTTGGGTTATATACATGGTGGGGAACTTCAGGTCTAGGGGGCTGGATATGGTCCTCCAAGTCTTTCTAATTGGCCCTTGAGAATCTCCCCAGAAACCACAACTCCTCTGCCAAGTTCCACACCTTTCACCATCCCTGCTCTACCTCTTCATTGGCCGCTTTTGCTGAAAAGTGTCGTTGGAAATATGATAAAACCTCTTGCTTCCTGGAATAGAAGCAGGGAGTTTTGGCGTAGATATGTAGAAACTTCTTGACTTTAAGTCTGGCCTGTTTGCAACTTCTGCCCTCCCTATAGGGAGCAGTATAGGTTTACAGATTGCTTTGAGGGTGAGTAGGAATTTTCTCCACAACCACCTGATTGGAGGGAGTTGTGGGGGGCAGAGTTTGTCTTCTGTAAGCTGCCTTGGGAAGGTTATCAGGATAGTCAGAGATAGTTTTAAGGTAGTGCAACCAGTTTGGCCACATTGGGCACCAGCAGCAGAGGACACCACAACAATGCCGTAGAATGGAGCACGAGAGGCAGGGGGTGCCAAATTTTAGTGTCACAAAGGGTACTGCTGAAATTTGACACTGGGGATAGTTGGCAAAGGTGGGGTGTTTTGTAGCTCTGTTTAATATTAGGGCAAATAAAGCATTGGTGAGTATCCTGCAGCTTGTCCTAAAGGGGGTTGGTACTTGGAGGGATTTTCCAATA